AGAGAAACGTTTTGCTGACTAGATCACTGGTTTATTATAAAAGGATGTAACTCAGAAACAGGCAGGTAGAAGAGAAGCACAGGGCAAGGTGTGTGGGAAGGGATGCAGAGCTTCCACGCCTTCTCCAGGGCATCACTCTCCCAGCACCTCCAGGGTGTACCAACTGGAGCTCTCTGAACCTTTTTGGGTTTTACCTAGGCTTCCTTTCACAGGCATGGCCATTAATTCAACCTCCAGCCACTCCAGAGGTCTGGGGTGGAACTAAAGTTCCAACCCACTAATAGCATGGTTGGTTCTCCTGGCAACCAGCCCCATTCATAGATGCTTCCAAAGGTCAGCTCATTCAAAAGACACCTTTCTCACTCTAAACCAGCTATTTTCAACTTTTTTCTTCTCCTGGCACACATAAGCCAATTACTAAAATTCTGTGGCACACCAAAAAATATATATGTTTTGCCAATCTGACAAAAAATAGGAATAATTTTGATTCATTCACACCAGATGGCTATTGTTGTGTTAGCTGTTGTCATTTTTTTTATTTGACAATCTAAGGCAGTGGTTCTCAACCTTCCTAATGCCACGACCCTTTAATACAGTTCCTTATGTTGTGTTGACCCCCAATTTCATTATTACAAATTGAACATACTTAAAGCATAGTGATTAATCACAAAAACAATATGTAATTATATATGTTTTCCGATGGTCTTAGGCGGCCTCTGTGAAAGGGTCGTTTGACCCCCAAAGGGGTCGCGACCCACGGGTTGAGAACTGCTGGTAAGGGGAAAGAGGTCAGTGCCACTGACTAAATAGTCAGGTATTGCATGTTTTAAAAATTATAGCAGGACACAATGTGCCAGGGCAAACAGGCTGAAAATCACTGATCCAAACACTTAGGAAATTCCAAGGGCTTTGGAAGCTGTGAAGCAGGATCTGTAGCTGAAGACAAAAATATACAGAAGAGTATATATATTTGGTTATCTGAGTGAACAAATACATATTTCTTATAAATCACAATATTGCAACCAAGTACATAACACATTTTTGGGGATCCTTCAGGGAAAACAAAAACTGTATGTACTGACTAAATTATAAATAGTCCTGTCAAAAATAAAAGTAATTATGGCACAAAGCATTTATATTTCTCACTTGTCTGGTCTGACCACCTATGGAGAGTTAGACCTGTAGTCTTAAATACCAGAATAGAGTTATGTTCTTGAAAGAACAAGTTAAAGTTAGAAATTTAAAATGATCCTCTCATGAATATGACAGGATAGAATATATACCTTATAAATATGATCACAGCCTTTCTTGAAATAAATATGTTTCCTAATGAAATAATTAGAAATGTGGGGGGAAATTATGTGTGTAAAACTTTATCACAGAAAAAAAAACACCTACAAACAACCAAAATGCTCCCCAATAGAAACCCTGTTACTTGAACTATCGTGTGATAGTGTGTGGTTCCATCAGGTATTCTGTGGCCTCAATTAAGTGAGCAGGCTAGAAGCACTGTCTGGATTTGAATCTCAGCTTTGCCACTTACAAGTCACATGAATTTGGGTCTCTGTGCCTAAGTTTCTTCATCTTTAAATGGAGTTATAATATCATCTGCCCTATAGAATTGTCATGATATTTAACTAAATGACAGTGATGACTGGCATATAGCATAAGTATTTAATTATTAGCCCTTGTTATGAAACACTATGCAACCATTAAAAATAAATGTTATAGATTAAAGGAATATCTTAGGACATGGTATAATTGCTTGAAATGTATTGAAATATATTGAAAGTATAAAACATAGTATTACCCAAAGTGAAAAATTCCTAAATTAAAATTATATGTATAAGAATATCTTTATTTATAGAAATCTATATATATAAAAAGCCAGTGACTGGAACACTGTAACGACCAAAATAACCAGTCACTATCCCCAGCTGGCCTGGCCCTGATCAAGCCTGATCAGGGCAAGCGGCTGGCCAACCTCCCACCATATCCTCCTCCCAACAGGCCCAGCCCCAATCTTCCCCAACTGGGGCCGGGCTGGCCAAACTATGATGCCCACTGCAGCCAGTGAACTGGCCGGATCAGGGGGGTGGGGCCAGCTGGTAGACCTCTCGCAGCCCCTGCCCCCAGCTGGCCCCTCCCCCGATGGCCCCCCTAGGGGGTGGGGCTGACCAGCCAACCTCCTGAAGCTCCTGCCCCCAGCCTGCCCCATTTGTGCACTGGGCCTCTAGTATAGATATAAATGCTGGAATGCTGGAGGGAGCTATATAAAATATTATCAGAACTTACCTCTGTACAGTGAAATTGTGGGTGATTTTTAAAACTTGCTCACTTCTATATTTTCAAAGTTTCTTTAATTTAGCATATACTATATTTATAGGAAAAGAATAAATTATTCAAAAATTACCTGTTCCAATATAAAAAAAAATTTATTGTTGACAATATTACAGATGTTTCTCCATTTCCCCCCTCCATCCAGCCCCAACCCCAGGCCTTCCCGACACTGTTATCTGTATCCATGGGTAATGCATACATGCATATATGTTCTTTGGTTAATCCCTTCCCGTGCTCTCCACCCTCTTCCTCACTGAGATCTGTCATTCTGCTCCATGCATCCATGCCTCTGGACCCATTTTGTTTATCAGTTTATTTCATTCATTAGATTCTACATATGAATGAGATCATGTGATATTTGTCTTTCTCTAACTGGCTTATTTCACTAGCATAATAATCTCCAGGTTCACCCATGCTGTTGCACTTTGGGGCGCCTTCATCATGTAAGTGAATACTTTTCATAAACCAGATCCTTTATTGCTGAAGAATTCTGTGTCTTCGAATTATAAGAAGCTAATTGAACATGTGAACATTGGCACCCCCGACATTTTAGTTAGAAAAAGTTGATTCAAAAAGAATCTGTGATTGCTTTACAGAATCTGTTAAATCACTGAAGTTAAAGTGAAATAAACTCAAATGTACCACAGAAAGTTTAAGTGTAAGTGGGATAGGAGAGCAATGGACTTATTTGATGAACTCTAGTCATCATCAAAATACTATTCAGAAGAAATTTTTTAGTTGAGCTATTTGGATTTTTCATTAAATAGACTAAAGAATAGAAAGTCTTTTCTAGAGTCTAATAATAAAATTTCTTTTATATGGGTTACCCTGGTTAGCCACAAGCATTCAGAAATTTCTTTCTTTGGGAATTTTAAAGACTTTTCTATCCTACTCCAACCCCATTATAAATTGTGAGGCTGCCTGGGCATTAAAGGTACTTCTCACTATTTTTAGTATAAACCTAGTGACTGAATTGTGATGATTGTGCCTCAAGAAACAAATTAATAACTATTGCTTGCCTCAAATAAGAATGACTGCCTGAGATATTGACAAAGGCTGCCTTCCCCTGAAGAATTCAAGTCAATATGCCTTTCATCTGTGGGGCAGGTGGCATGCCATTCTAATCTGCAGGGCACTTTCAAATGAATACCCATTGGATTTGTTGGGATTAGAGACACAAATTAAAGGGTTTTTTTTATGACATCCATTTTCTCTATTGCCAGGAAGATTTTCTCAGAACAATCTTCTGAATTTTAAGTATTTTAAGCAAGAGTATTCGTTTTTCTCCAACAAATCAATTTACTGGACCACAAAGCTTTGAGAAAACGTAAGAAATGACCAGCAGAACATAGCTGAGAGAGGACATGCCCAAGAAATGGTTTAGCACAGGTCACAAGAATTCATAACTATTGAACTCTGTGTAATGAAGTTCTGAGAGATGGAGAACAACAAAGAGATACTGAATGGCCACAATTTGTGAAAAATCTCTCTTCTTCCCCTTCCTTTGAAAACAATCCACAGGCACCCAGCAAAGTACAATTCTGGGACTGTCCCAGGGCACTTCAATCTTTAAAAGCAACTCTGCTTAGCCTTTTCACTACATTGCTTTAGAAAACAAAGCAAAAATAAAGCAAACAAAAACAAGCCATGGAAGGTGAAAACTTTTTTTTTTAATGTTTACGTGCCATCACAGAAATTAATGGTTGAAAAAAAGAAAAAAAGTCCTAAATATATAATATGTTCCTTGAGGAATCCAATTCTAGCCTGAGAACCAAAATAATTTATTCATTCATTCTACTGGTATTACCAGTTTTACTATGTACTCAGCATGACATACAGCACTGGGAATTCAAAGGTAAGCAGGAGTCCAAGTCCTTGTCTTCAGGACGAAGAGACTGGCAAATGAATAAACAAATTCTATTAACGTCAGCTCTGAGAAGCACATGAAGAAAACTAGGAATTTTAACTGCTTGTTATTATCTGTATTGTTATTTGTTCTAGGGAACTGTACTGTGTCTAGTGTTCTCCTGCCCCTTGAAAAAGCAATCATACCTAATATCAGGTCCAAGGGTATCCAAGAAAGTGTTTGGAGATTGTGTTAGTTTCCTATGGTTGCTGTAACAAATTACCACAAATTTAGTAGCTAAAAGCAACACACATTTACTATCCCACAGTTTCTGTAGGTCGGGAGTGTGGGTGAGCTGACGGGGTCCTCTGTGTAGCCTGTGCTCCTTACTGGGGCTCTGGGGAAGCATCCACCTCCCGGCTCATTCAGGTTGTTGGCCGGGGTCAGTCTCCTGTGCTTACAGGACTAAGAACCCATCTCCTTGCTGGTTGGTTTCATTCCTTCTTATTCCTTCCCTGGGGCCCTCCACGTGAGTCCTTCGCAAGTGTAGAATTTCTGACTTCTGCTAAGCTCTCCGACTTTCTCTCCTGCCCTCAACCCTGAGAAAACCCTATGCTTCAGAGCTCACGTAATAATATTGAGTCTATCTGGACAGACCGTGATCTCTCTATCTTAAGGTTTGTAACATATTCACAGGTTCCAAGGAATAGGACATAGCATCTTTGGGGGAGCCATGCTGCATACCTGAGATAAATTACAATATTTTACACAATGGCTGCTGTTTACTACTGAGGATGGGCTCTTCTATTTCTAGGACATTCACTTGGCCAGGAGGTTATATGACATGGCTGCTCAAACAAGTCCCGACGCTCATATGCCGGTCTTCTTTGCTCTCGTGAAACTGGAGACTATGCATTTGCTCCGAGATATCCTGTTTTTTAATGTGAGTTTGTCTCAAATAGGTCCCGGTGAGCAAGTCTTGGGTGGTGGGATGGAGGGACCTATTCTCCTGAATAGAGTGGGAGGCTTGGATTTTTTTTCTTTCTAACAAAATGTCTTTTCCCAGCAGTTTACAATGAGATGGAAATGGATAAAATTGGATGATACCCTTGGACAATACTGGGATTTATTTGCGATTGTCCTCATTGTTGCTATGCTGATCTACTTGCTTAGAAATCGCTACGGGTAGGATCTGGATTCTAGGAAAACCTGCTCATGGGAGCCAGTTCGCCCCAAGGTGTCCTCACTAAATAAAGAATTTTCTTGTCAAACTCAAGATTCTGCCGCGATTTCCCAAATGCCGTGATGGAAAATGGACAAAGCTTGGAACCTGTCCTCTGAGAAATTATTTCACTTCCTGCTTAGTTGAGGTGACCACTTGAGGGGTATTGGGGACTAGTCACCCACGGCTTCATTACAAACTTGTCATCTTAGTGATCTAGTTCTGAGGGGTAAAGACTCCAATGCCAAGCCAATTCTCATGCTATTCTAACAACCTTTCAAAAGAACAAACGGGTGTCTTGGCTCCTGCAGACACACTGGGATAGGGAGAAGGTCAAGTCCGGGAGGGCAGGAATACAGACCCGTCAGATCTGATAAATACGAAAATTATACATAGAACCTTCCTCTTGTGGGGTTGATTCTGTGAACCACATCAAAAACCCAATGAGCAAAAGCTCCTGTGACATCTGTGCTCGGGCCCAACTCACACTCCTCACCCAGGAATTGGGTGGAATTCCCTTTGGATGGGACCAACCTCCTGGGATAGAAGCTAAAGGGTCCAGATGTCTATCTCCCCTGACAGGCAAAGCAAGAGCCCAGGGCTAAAGGTAGGGTGGGCAAGGAGAGTGCACAAGGCCCATGTCGCATCTCAAAAGGTCAGGCTTGTATCTCAGCTCTGGTTAAAATATAGGAGCAAGGGCAACGTGACTCAAGTTTCCTGTCTCAGCTCATTGTTCCAAGTAAATATGAGCAAGGCCTTTGAAAATATGAGTGGTTTAAGAGCATTGCTGAGACCTCTCTCTTAGTGGCTGTTTCCTTGAAACGCTAAAGTTTTGAAATTACCATTTATTTGTAAAGATCTAAGTTCATAGATAAGGAGCTCTTTCCACCAGAAGGTCTAAGGGTGAAGGGCAGAAGGTTTATCCTTCTAGTATTCATTCATTCATTTATTCACTTACTTATTCACCATGTTTCCCAAGAGCCTACTCGGTACAAGCCACTTGTCACTGTATATAATTTGCTTTTTTATTAAGAATTGCTATGTGTAAGCACGCAGGACAGTGTCAGGTCTACAGGAAGCACTCTGGGTTCTCTACACTACCTTAATTCATTAATTCTAAAATTTCTTTCCAAATTTTAACATTTCCAAAATTAGGATACACTCAAAATGAATAGCACTTAGATTTGAAGAACTCCTGTATTATTATTTGTTTGCTCCATTTAACAGGAAGCCCCTGAATGGCTGAGGCTCTTTCATCCTTACATCCTAGCACCCCAGCACCTAGCACCATGGCTGGGACCTCATAGTGCCCAGTGAATTGGTGGAATAATTGCAAAAAGGAAAGAAGCCTTTCCCAAGGGCACCCCCACCCCACCACGTAGACTGCATGTCACCTCTCTTTTCTGAACTCTCAAGGCCCTTCAGTCAGACCTCTTTTATGGCATGTCTCATGTTCTACCTTGAACTACAGTTGAGTGCCTGTTACCCAACACCATTGAAATGAAGGTAGGGTCCCCACCCTATTTACCTGAGGATCATAGAACCCTATTTGGCACAGTGCCTTCACTAGGAGTCTCAAAGTACTTCTGTTCTAATACCCAATGTCAGCTTCACTGTGGTCTCTAGTGATCCCAGTGTGAGCTCTGTCAGGGCAGCAATTAAGTCAGGGGTGAGGAACCTTTTTTCTGCCAAGGGCCATTTGGATATTTATAATATTACTAGAGGCCCGGTGCACAAAATTCATGCACTAGGGGAGGTCCCTCAGCCCAGCCTGCCCCCTCTTGCAATCCAGGACCCCTCGGGGGATGTCCACCGGCCGGCTTAGGCCCTATCCCCAGCAGGCCTAAGCCAGCAGTCAGACATCCCTTTCGCAGTCCAGGACCCCTCGCTCCTTACAGCCACCTGCTCACTGCTCCTTGCCACTTGGCTCACTGCTCCTTAGCGCTGCTGCGGAGGTTGGAAAGGCTCCCGCCACTGTGCTTGCCAGCGATAAGCTCGGCTTCTGGCTGAGCGGTGCTCCCCCTGTGGGAGCGCACTGACCAACAGAGGGCAGCTCCTGTGTTCAGCATCTGCCCCCTGGTGGTCAGTGCGCATCATAGCCACCGGACATTCCACCATTTGGTCAATTTGCATAGGATGAGTTATCTTAAGTTGTATTTCATTCATCAGAAAATAAAGTCTAGGTAAAGATAAAGTGCCTTTTACAAAAGGAGCATTCAATCTTCACCTAAGAGCATTAGAACAAATCTCTTACATTTGAGAGCTATTTGGATTTTTGGCATAGAGGTAAAACAGCTATCTGAGGTCTTGTGATTTACTCCTTTTAAAAGCAGTATCTGTTTACTAATCAATCTTCTCGTGCGAGCAAGAGCAACTTTTACATAGGAAAAATGGTAAGCTAGCATCACAATAGCAGTACCTAATTCTTGAAAGCCTAAGATTTATTCCCTCAGAATAATAACAGCTAACATATCATGCCTATTATGTGCCAGGCACTGTTCTAACTAAATGTATTAACTCATTTGTTCTTTACAACTGCCTTCCTGGGAGGATACTGCATCATCTTCCCTCTTTTACAGAAGACGTTGAAACTGGGTCAAGTAACTTTCCCAAGAACACACAGCCAGGACAACTGGTTCAGAGTCCATTTTGTTGACCACTGCACTGAACTGCCTTGACAAAGTTCATAAACAGTTTTGCAGCTGTGTGGATCATGTAACTGAATGTAGGTTTTCCTGAAACTGTTCAAATTATCCAATGTCTCTGCAATGCCTAGCATTGTGTAGAGCTTATGATTCCCAGGACTGATTCAAGATCTTGCAAGGTGCTTCCTGATAGCTTGCTGGTCATTAGGTCTGGAAGATGCCATAAAATATAGGCTTCTCCGTCAGATTCACAACATAAGTGCCAATCCCCAAGAGCAGAACATTTAGCTGAAGAAGAAGAACTCATGGACAGGAAACGATGTAAAAAAAAAATGCTAAAGGAGGGGGAACTAACAAAAGTTCAAGATGGTCTGGGACAAGAAAGCAAAGTGAACTTGAGCTGGACTTAGAGAATGCCTGAGCTTAGCGTGAAAAAGACAGAGGCTTGGGAGGGCGGGCAGCTGCACAAGGACACATTCAAGCACAGGGCTGAGTGTGTGTGTGAGACCATGGATGGAGTCACCTGTCTGGCTCCCACACACAAAGGTTGTGGCCGGAGGGAAAGACTGGTACTTCACAGAAGGCTTTGACCTCTAGAAGGCACTGTAATAAATTTGTTAATTGCACTGGCTTTGTCACATACAGGACTCAAGTCACTTGCTGGCTGCCATTTATTTATGTGACCTTTGAGAACTTACCTCTCTAGGCCTGTTTCCTCGTGAAAAATGGGGATAATGGTACCGTTAGCCACCTTTGAGGGAGCTGTGAGGATGTGACAAAAATGCATATCAAAGGCTTGGCACACTGCCTGGCAAGGGTGTAGAACACGCTGAGCCTTCAAAGGAGGGCTTTACCAACTCATGACACCTTAGGAGAGGTTAAGCAAGCTGCCTCTGAGAACAATGAGTGCACAGCTGGCCTCTCGAGAAATGATGCTGTCCACCTGTTTAGAGATCCCAAAGGACTTTCCTATTTCTCCACTTGGTCCTCTAGCCACCTGAAGCCTGAGCATTTCCTTTTCAGGTGGGACTTAACAGTCAGATTCTCATCACCCAGAAGAATAACTGGGAGCTTTCAGCAAAATTCAGGGATGCGTACCAAATGCTAAATGCTTGGTTCCTAGGAGAAAATGTCATCTTCATGGAAAATGTAGAAGGCAGCTCACGCTGCATATTTTAGGTTCTAGAGCCCTTCACTAAGGCCCATATACCTACAGCAGTAATGCATGCTGTACCACTTTTGTGGACTAGGGAACCCAAGGCTCATCAGTGTTCACCTCAAACCTTCTCCTCAGGTGAAATTCAAGTGAACTCTGAAGGGGAAAGAAGTCCCCAAAACATCCACATGGAGTCTGAGAAAACGTAAAGATGGGAAAGGAACCCTGTCCCTTCCGTTCCAGGACCCAAGTCCTCGGATCAGACTGAACGCTGCCGAGATCATCCGACCCAAAGGCTCACACCATAACACAATAGAGGGGTGTCCCATGCTTCCCTCAGTGACAGGGACTCCCTCCTTAAGGCCATGATTATTAACCAAAATGGGAAGGTGGGAACGTTTTGTTTGAAAAAGCCCCTTAGGGACTTGGAAGGCAGGCCTGTAGTCTCCTTTGAGACTGAGCACCAAACCTGTAATTTAGATGAAAACCCCGAGGCTAGAAAGATGGAGTCGGACTTAGCCTTGGGCACCAGCAGGGCCAGGACTACACCCAGACCACTGACTCCCAATCCCTATGCTGCCCTCTATCTCCAGTGTTTATTTTGGCAAGCGCTGGCAGATCCTGTGGAAACTTCCTCTCCAATCTCCTACTCTCTAAACATAAGCACAGTTTAGATTGGAGCTGTTCCCGATTATTTGTTTGCAGGGCTGGCTCTGACACACCAGGAACCATACCTTGGGAGATTCTTGTATGAGGTGTCTGGAGATTGAACAGACTACACTTGCACTTTGAAAGTGAAGGCTCTTTACTTTTGTCTTGTGCCATCCAGGGCTAGCAAGGCAGGATCAACTCTGGCTTTTAAAAAGCCCCTCTTTAAAAAAATTTTTTTTTTTATTTCAGAGAGAAAGTGAGAGGGAGAGAGATATAGAAATGGAAACATCAATGATAAGAATCATTGATCGACTGCCTCCTGCACGCCCCACACTGGGGATTGAGCCTATAACCCAAGCATGTGCCCTGATTGAGAATCGTGACCTCCTGATTAATAGGTTGACACTCAACCACTGAGCCATGCCAGCCGGGCCAAACGCCCATTTCCACAGCATCATGCACACCTGAGAGTCTGGTAACAAGTGCAGTGCCAACGGTCCATCCTGATACCAGCGGTCGGCTACCCAAAGCTAAGGCAGAGGGAAGTGACTGAGGAAACCATGCAGTTGCTTAGCTCATTGAGTTTTCAAGGTCAGAATGTTC